CCCCGGGGACGCAGGGCCCCGCAGCTTCCTCGAAGTTCTCGCTCCCCCGCCAGAGAAAGTGAGGCGCCCAGAGGTGGGCAGGGGGCCCGCCTCCGCGCCTTTGACTTCCTGGACTCGCTCCTGAGCCACTTCCCTAGGTCGGGCGTCCCCGGAGCCCCGCTGGCCCTGGGCGCTGCACCCCGACCGTCCCCTCCCTAAGTGGGGACCCCCAGGGAGTGCGGCCCGGCTGGCCGGCCAGGGGTGTCTGGGCCCCCTTCCCAGAGGGCCTGGCCTACTCTCTAGGGCCCTGACTCCTAAGTCGGATCACGTGGGCAGCTTGTGTCCACTGGTCAGGTGGACACTGGTATGGACAGAGAAGTGCCTGACCTTTGTCCTGTTCCTGGCTCCACTCTGCCCCCTGCAGGCGGCGGGCTGTGAGAACGCCTCTATGCCCCTGGGGGCCCCAGAGAGCCCGGGGTGGGGCAGCCAGGACCGCACCCCCACCGTGCGATGACCAGCCAGGGCCTGCCTGGGGCTGGACAGCCGGCTGGATGGTCCGTGCGGACAGCAGCCTGGAGGTCGCTTCCCACAGCCCAGACATGTTTCTGGAAGGGGGGCACTGGCCACAGGCGTCCACACCGGGGTTCTGCGGCCTGAGTTGTGACCGGGGCGGACACTGGGAGGCAGGGCCGACCCCTCTGCTCCCTGGTCAGCATCCTGGTGCTGGGGCCGTGCCTGCGGGTCCTTTGCAGCGGACAGGTCACCGTGAGGGGAGCGCAGCCCGCGTGGAGGGGACTGCTGCCGTGCGGCACAGCCGAGAGGCCCCCCCACCCACTGGGAGCCCCGGCCGCCTCCGCCTGCAGGGCCCCGCCCCAGCACCCTCTTTCTCGCCCCACTGCTGCGCGGCTCCATGGGGAGACCAGTGTCCCTTGCAGGACACTCAGACAAGTGCCCCTGCAGCCCCGACCATCTCGCCCCGGCAGCCGGCCCTTGCACCTGCTTGTCTGCTGCCCGGCAGCCTGACGGTGACCAAGCGTCCACCACCCCTGACTGCGGGCCAGGAGCCCTCCTCCTGTGCCCCGAGTGCAGCGGGGCTTCGGGGTGCCTGTGTCCAGGCCCCAACGGGCCGGAAGGGACAGAAGGAAGGCGACGGGCCCCCCAGCGTGTCCACCCGCTGGCCACACTGTGCACGGTGTCCTGGCCGGGCCGCTCGCCGCCCGGCCCTGGGTGCCGCTGCCCGTCCTAGGCGCCCTGGAATGGGCTTGGCCTGTGGCTGCTGAGTTCTGGCCCTGCGGACCCCGCGTCCTGGTCGCCCCACCCGCGTCTGTGGGGACTCGGGCGCCTGGGTCCTGACGCGCCCCGGCCTGGAAGGCGGGCGGAGCAGGGCCAGCCAGTCCCTCCCTGGCTCGCTGCCTCGCGCTGGGCGGCCCTGGCCACAGCTGGCTGCGGTGACCTGTCGTTGCCTTGGGAACGTGCGGAGGCTGGTGCCCTGGCCCGGCGGGGGGCTCTGCCCGGGCTGGGCCCAGGCACGGGGTGATGGCCGGGGCCCCCTGCATGCCTGCGGAGACTAGTCGCTGAGAGAGAACGAGGTGCCGGCTGCAGCGGGAGAGCCCTGCCGAGGGCTGCCGGGCTCACCAGGCCCCCCACAGGAGGCCCCTGCGCCCTTATCGGTGCCCGGCCCCGCGGCCTGGGCACTGCAATTCCGGCTCTAGCCGCTGTGCCGAGTTCCCCGCCCCCCCGTGCCCCACTGAGTCTGCTTCTCTCTCCACAGGCCTCGAGGACCCACAGCGGCACCCCGACATGGGCGCGCGGAAGCCCCCCTGCTCCCGCCCGCTGCTGGGGCTCTGCGCTCTCCTGTCCTTGGCCACAGCTGCCTTCCTGGGGCGCACCCTGCTCCATCGCTTCGAGGGGGCCCCCCGGGAATGGCATGGCTTCTCCCAGGCCTCGGAGGGGACCCGCCCAGGGTGCCCACTCGCCCCGGAGAGCCACGGCCGTCCCAGAGCCGCGCCCACGCGGTGCGATGTGCCCCCCAACAACCGCTTCGACTGCGCCCCCGATAAGGGCGTCAGCCGGGAGCAGTGTGAGGCCCGGGGCTGCTGCTACGCGCCCGCCGGGCGTCCGGCCTCCGGGCTGGGGCAGCCCTGGTGCTTCTTCCCGCCCAGCTACCCGAGCTACGCGCTGGGGAACCTGACCGTCACGGAGACGGGCTACACGGCCACCCTGACCCGCGCCGTCCCCACCTTCTTCCCCAAGGACATCCTGACCTTGCGGCTGGACGTGCTGATGGAGACCGAGAGCCGGCTGCACTTCACGGTGGGCGGGGCCCGTGGGAGGCAGGCTCAGGGCGCCGGGCACCCGCGCGAGCG